TCTGGAGGTGGATGAGGTGATGGACCCGCCGCGATCGCTGTCGCTTGGCGATCTGGTGCGCGCGGCCGGCGCGCCGCCGCTGCTCGGCCAGCTCACCCTCGCCGCGCCGGAGTCTCTGATGCTGCCCGCGCCGCCGGGCTATGTGCTACGCGCGCTGCGGGGGGCGGCGGCGGCGGGGGAGGGGCTGGGGGTGCACATGGGCCGGCAGCCGCCGCCATGCCTCGCCTCCAGGGTGGCGAGGCCGTGGCCAATACATGCCAATTGGTGATTGGACGGCCAGGTTTGGACGTTTCCAACATTCATCACAGTATTCAGTGGATGACACCGCTCACATGAGGCGTTGGGTGGCCGGCCAAAGCCCCGCCTTGACCGATCTTCGCTGTGGAGACCGCGCTGCTCCACATCCTGCCCAACGTTGCCCCCCCCCCTCAACAGCATGCAGCTCCATGCGCTCAGTGCGAGGCGTCAGCATGTTGCTCCTGTCCTCTTTCCTCTGTCGCCCGACCTCGTTTGTACCAGCGCGCCCACCGTGTTCACGCCAGCGATGGGGGTGTTTTGGGCAGAGGGCAACTAGCCTCCGCCGGATTTGACAGCTGTTTGCGGCGAACTGTCACCCCTGTACCATGCTTCGAAATGAATGCCTGTACCAATTCCACCGGTTGATTTATATCGAGTTTGAGCCAATATATGCATTGGATCAAGGTTGACTGTGGCAACAATCACCGGGCGTGGCCGCTTCTGGCCCCAATTGCGGTTCCCGGAGCAGCACATGTACAGTACTTGACTGCAGCGCTGCCGTTGCGCACCGCAGCGGACCCTGTTGTAACACCAGTAAACTGAAGTGAAGGGGGATGCCAAAGCGGCCGCAGTTCGCGTGTGTGTTTACAATCTCTGAAATGGCTGCTGTCGGCGGCACCCATGGTTGCCAGGCCCATGCCCATGGAGGGAAACGAGATCTGCGAGTTGTGAGGCTGCGGTCTGCGTGCTGCAGTCGGCGCAAGCCACACAGCATGAGCAGTAAGAGGGGAGCTTCATATGTCAGCGACTCCCGCGCCGCTTTTTGAATGGCGCGCCAACGGCGCCTGGGTTGGGCAGTGCGCCTCCGGCCAGCATGCCATCCACAGATCTGAGTGCCTGATCGAGCCCGTCACGCTGCAATTGCGTACATATGTCTTCACGCACCACATTGTGCTGTGTGCACACTGCCAGCACGATGCAACTTTTGCAGGCACCACCGACTGGCGAGTTCCACCGCACCCGACATCCCACGGAGCAAGCGTGCACACATCCCCTTTCGCGCGGCTGCTCTCGACGCAGTTCTTACACTGAGGTCGACGGCGCCATACGCATAGCAGCTTGAACGCGAAAAGCGGGGAGAGGATAGGCCCATCGCCGTCTTCAGCTCGCACCTTCGCTGAGCTTTCAGGGCGTGCTGCGTTGAGAGTGTCAGGCAGAGCCTGCAGGTGAGGCTGTCCGGGGCGGCTGCAAGTTCAGACGCGGAGTGGCGCAGCCTTGCCCAAGCAGCCACTAGCGGGCAGTCGGGAAGGGCGTCTCCACCCCATACCGTCTGCATGCATGGGATCAAGAGTGCTGGCGCGATCTGGGCCCCATGCGCAGCACTTCCAGCCGCTATGCGGTCGCAGCGGCGCAGCGCTGCATCGCTCGCACCTGCATCACCTCGTCGTGCCGCACCCTGAGCATGTGCCACTTGTCTTATATGTGTATAACGACCGAGCTCAAGCTTTTGCTTCACACACCACCATCCACTGCGCCCTCGTCGTGCGCCCGCCTGCGCTCCCGCAGCCCACTCAGCGGCGCGGCAGCAGTCGCCGCACAGCACAGGAGCGGCGCGCACGAGCGGCCCCGCCCCCCACAGCAGCGCACGCTTCAGCCTGCGCGCGCGGCGTTTAGCAGGCAGCTGACAGCATGCCTAAGAACAAGGGGAAGGGAGGAAAGAACAGGCGTAGGGGAAAGAATGAGAACGAGGAGAAGCGGGAGCTGATCTTCAAAGAGGATGGCCAGGAGTACGCTCAGGTGCGCAGAGTGCGCGCTTAGACGCACACGCGTCCGAGGGGCAGGGGTTGACCACGCGCTTAGACGCACACGCGTCCGAGGGGCAGGGGTTGGCCACCGGCACCGACGGGGTTGATGCTGTCAGGGGCGCACGGCAGCCGCAGCGAGGCAGCGGGCCGTCGCGCTCGGGGCCTGCGCACTTTGCGTGGCGCACCAGATCGCGGCTGCGCTGCCTGCAAAGCATGGAGTCCTATATCAGGCCTGCTTGCTGGTCCGTCGCCATTGCTCAGCACAGCGGCGCGACCTGACACTTGCCGGCTTTGCGGCGGCCGCCAGCAAGCAACGTCAGCCGAGCTGCGGCGAGCAGCGCCCCATCTCCCCTGCGGCCCCTGCCAGCTTTGCTTGTGTGCGGAGGGGCAGGGGCAGGCAGGGCTCATGCGGTGGACCCCCAGTTGCGCACCTGTCGGCATGGCGCAGCGGCCAGTCACACCAGGGCCCTGTCTTCAGCGCACCGCAACTGGCAGCGGCGCCTGCGCGCCGGCTGGCATGCCTGCTTCCCCTTGCCCCTAAACCTCTCCACCGGGGCCCCCTTTCCCGCCGCCCAGGTCCTGCGCATGCTGGGCAACGGCCGCCTCGAGGCCCAATGCATCGACGGCACCAAGCGGCTCTGCCACATTCGCGGCAAGATGCGCAAGAAGGTGCGGGCTGCAACGCGGTGCGGGGCGCGCCTCCCCCCACTCCGGCAGTCGTGGATGGGGCGACCTTAGGGGAGTGTTTTGTTCGCTCGGCAGCAGCGCGGGTGGTGGCGTGGCCGCGGGGCGTTTTGCGGCTGGCCGGGGCGTGGGCTGTCTGGGGGCTCTCACGTGCTGCAGTGTTGGCGTGCGGCGGCGCCGTCGTCGCCGTTGCTGGCATGGTGCATGCCTGTACTCCCCTTGACGCCGCAGACAGCGCCTCCCGTATTGGATACAGGCGACCGTATAACACGGTTGCTAACACGGTCGCCCGTATCCAAGACGGGACCTCAGTCGCGGCGCATTCCTGGGTTCTACACTTGCCGGTGCTGAGTTTGGGTTGCATCGCGCGCATCCGTGCCCCCCTCAAAACACCGCTGGCTGTCCCTGCTGTCTGACTATCTTGTGTTTAATTCTCCTTCTGCTCGCTGGCGCCAGGTGTGGGTCAACGCGGGCGACATTGTGCTGGTGGGGCTGCGGGATTACCAGGACGCCAAGGCCGACGTCATCCTCAAGTGAGATTATGAGCGGAGGGGGGGGAGGGCGTTTCGATTTCGGCCGGCATGGCGCGGCGGCGGCTGCAGTGGCGTGCAGGGGGCGGGCCCGCCCCAACTCCCTGGCCCGCGAGGTCTGGCGGGCCCTGGGCGCTGTTTGGGGGATCGCCATGGCAGGATGGTTTTGGCGTGGCGCGCCGGCGTGTCGCCTGGCGACAGACGCTGACGCCCCTGCCCCCAAAAACGCATGTGACGACTTGACTCGTCAGGTACATGGCCGACGAGGCGCGCAGCCTGAAGCAGTACGGCGAGCTGCCGGAGCACATCCGCGTGAACGACACCGACGCGATGATGGAGGGCGAGGACAACGAGAACGCAGAGTACTTCGACTTCGACGACCTGGCAGAGATTTGAAAAGACAGCCAGATCGCGCCCGCTCCCCCAGATCGCAGCGACCGGATCGAAGGCTGCTCGCCGCCGCCTCCCCTGTTGGGAAGCCCCGTTGGTCGCGCCGACCCCAGTGCTACGGTCGTCAAGCGGTCCCTTGGTCTCGGCCGCGCAGCGGCCGCCAGGCCGGCGATGTGGGGCGGGGGCGTGGCCCGACCGCGCGCGCGCCGGCGTGCCGCGCGGCTTGGGCGCGCCCCCGCCCCGCCTGCATGTGCGCACCTGCTAGCATGTCTCGCCTTGTAGAGTGTGTAAGTTGTCGAGAGCTCATCACATTTTTTCGAACCTGTTGTGACGTGGAGCAGTACAGCAGCACGCCTGCAACGGGCACACGCACACAAGGCAGTCACACCAGCATATCATAAGCCGTGCGACCAGCCTTATGGCTGTGCAGTCATGCAATGCGCACGGTCCGGGACTCTCCGCTTCATTCAAAATAGCATCACAATACTTTTCTTGAGCGTGTAGGCCCTCCAGAGCTCTGAGCAGTGATCTACATCGCACCATGTCCCGAGATGTGGCCTCCACGGAGGCCTTCGACAAGGCTATCAAAGATGCCAGAAACGTAAGAGCTAGATCGTTAGAAACTTGCGCGCAACTGGCCGTGGGGACAGCGGTTCCTCATCACTGCCGTCACCTCGTTGCCGCAGGCGGTGGCTTACTTCTGGGCGGACTGGAGCGAGCCTTGCAAGCAGATGGACGTGGTGGTGCAGGAGCTGGCGAAGCAGCACCCGAGCATCGCTTTCCTGCGGGTGCGGCGTGTTCGCCCTGCTGCGCATGCTGCCGCCTCCGGTTCTTGTGTTCGGTGTCTGCCCCATGCATGCCAGGGCGGCCACTGCGGGAGAATCTTGACATATCAACCATCACACAATCTGCATTGGAAGCAGACCTTGAAGTTGGCAGGTCGCTCGAATGGGATGCGCTTTGTTGCATGCCGATCAGCCGAGCCCGGCTGACCAGCACGCGCGACAAAGTACACCGCACGTACCGCCCGCCCGCTGTCGCGCTCCCCCCGGGGCAGGTGGAAGCCGAGCAGGCAGACGAGCTGACGGAGCGGTATGGTGTGGAGACCGTGCCCTACTTCATCCTTTTTGAGGTGAACGGCGGGACCCCTGCCTCGCCACCGCGGGCGACCCCGCGTATTGTGGGTCGCCGGGGGGCGCGGGGCTGCAGAACGTTGGGCCCGCCGCCCAGCGGGGCCGGCACGTGTGCAGACAGGCGATTTTGCAGACGGCCGGTCGGCCGGGGGATGCGCGGGGGTGCGGACGGAGTGAGGCGCGGGCGGGCCGGAGGTGGCTAGCTGCGGCAGCCCGCCATGAAGACCACAAAGCGTGGCGGCCCCTCGTTTCTGGTGCCGACCACATCCATCCAGCTGAGCCACCGCAGTCATCGCTTTTCGCGGGAAGCTGTTGGGTCTTGGGAGCCTCTGGAGTTGGATTTGCGGATCCACTCGCGCGGGCCCCACAACACGTTTGACACCGCCAACGCCCCCGCTGCCGCGTTCCGAACGGCACGCCGATCCCCGCTCAAAACGCCCCGCGCCCCAGGGCGGCCGCCGCGCCGGTGCGATAGACGGCGCAGACCCAGCAGCCCTCACGCAGCACGCCGCCGCCGCCGCCGCCGCCGCCGCCGCCGCACCCGCGGCCGCTGCTGCACCCACGCCTGCGCCGGCGCCCGCGCGGGCCCCGCGCGCGGCCGGCGTGGAGGGGCGCATACAGGACCTGCTCGCGTCGGCGCCGCTGCTGCTTTTCATGAAGGGGTCCAAGGAGCAGCCGTACTGCGGGTTCAGCAGCAGGGTGGTGGACGCGCTCAAGGCGACGGGGCACGACTTCCAAACGTTTGACATTTTCCAGGATGAGGAGATTAGGTGTGCCCCATTGAGGCACGGGAATATGGAAGGGGGGGACGCGTGCAGCTTGGCAGGTTTTTTTTGGGGGGGGGGGGCATAACGAGAAGGGTCCGTTTCGCACGTGCCCGTCGCCTCCCGCGCCACCCAGACTGCCCTGACTGCCCTTGTTGGCCCCGGCCCTCCGCCCGCCGTCCGCCGTTGACCCCGGGCTCGCCTGACATCCCGATGACCCTCCCGTCCGAAAAACGCCGCCGCAGGCAGGGATTGAAGGCGTTCTCGAACTGGCCGACGTACCCGCAGCTGTACCTGACAGGGGAGCTCGTCGGCGGCTGCGACATCGTGACCGAAATGGCGGCGTCTGGGGAGCTGCAGCAGCTTCTAGACGGCGCGCTCGGCGGCGGCGCGCGGCGGCAGCAGGAGCAGGAGCAGCAGCAGCAGCAGGCGGCGCCGGCGCCGCCGCAGGTGCGCGGCCCCGTCGCTGCCGTCCGGGTCCGGCCCGGGCGCGTTGTCGTCGGGCGCAGCGCGGCCGGCGTGGTCACGCCCTCTTGAACGCGTGCGTGCGTGGGAGCAATCCCCCTCTCCTTTGTCTCAGCCCAAGCCGCCCCCCCTCCCGCGTCCCCGGCCGCAGGCGCCGCTGGCAGCCCCAGCTGCCCCCGCCGCCCCCGCCGCGGCGCCGGCGCCGGCGGGCGGGCTGTCTGCAGAACTTCGGAGCCGGCTGGAAGCGCTGACTCAGCGGCAGCCTGTGATGGTGTTTATGAAGGGCTCGCCCGAGGCCCCCAGGTGGGGGTGGGCGGGGGGTCATTTTGAGGGCCAGGGCCCGGCGGGGCGGCCGGGGGCAGGGCTTCTCGCTGTGGGGCGCGGCGAGGTGGGCGCAGGCGTGTGTAGCTCTAGACGCTCTCACCCACTTGCACATTACAATTTTGCGTCGCACGCAAGCCGGAGCGAAACCGACTCGCCCGTCCGCCCCGCCCGACCCCGATGTATCCCTGTGAATAACATTACACGTACTGAAAATGACGTCATCCGCAGGTGCGGTTTCAGCCGCAAGGTGGTGGAGGCGCTGCAGGGGGACGGGCTGGAGTTTGGCAGCTTCGACATCCTGCAGGTGGTTTTTCGGAGCGGTTTTTGGGGCGGTTTCTGGGGCGGGTAAGGGCGGGGTCATGCCGGGGAAGGCAAGGGGCAAGGGGCGAGGCCCGAGGGGCGGGGGGGAAGGTTCGGAAAGGGGAGGGACGTCTTGCACGTGTTGAAAAAGGGGGGGGGCCTGGAGGGGCCGAGGTGTGGCAAGGCGAGGAAAGGGGCGGG